ACATGTAACTGGAACAAAGCAAATATTTTCTCTACGTTGAAAAAAATGATCCAGCAAATTATGGACCAGTTAGTCTGAATACAATACCAGTATTTGGGAAGATACATTTTATTGGATAGTACCTTTATAGTGTAATGGCATGTAGGGATGACCTTTGGGGACATGTACTTTCAAACTTGCAAGATTGATGTCAGTTTTGCAAGATTGTCCAGGCAGGAAGCACACCACATGAACTATAATTGACATAATACTATACTTCAATTATTTTTATTAAATAAGTTAGATGAAGAACTGAATGCTTAATACACTTTCAGATCATACAAATTGGGGGCAGATAGCTAACACCCTAGAAGACATACATGAAAATGCCCCCTTTTGATTCTATGATTATTAAGAAGAGATTATTGGATCTAGTCTAGTACTATGTTTTCTGTAATGGAAAGCTAGAAAAAATTCTAAGACGTCCCCATGTAGAATATGAAAATAGTAACCATTTTCTATTTGTGCCTTTAGTTCCACTGTCAGTTTATAAAAACAAACAACACTGTTATAGTTCAGTGTCCCCTCCCCCATCTAAATAAACCAAATGAAGTGCCTAAATAGTTTGATCCTTCCTTTACTGCTGTCTCCTTGGAGACAAAGGGGCAGGCACTACCTACTAATTGTCAATTTGTTTCTCTTTCCTCTTCATCGACTAGGCTGAAGAAGAAGAAGAGGAGGTTGAAAAAGTAGAAAAGATCAATTTTACAGTGCGATTGACTGGGTTTAAAGCTGAAGACAAGGTGAAAGTTATCAAAGAACTAAAGAACCACATGGAGAACATAAACCTTGTCCAGGTAAAATGATTCTTTCCTATACTTGTTCAGATTATACTATTGAGGGGGAATATCTTTTTACTTGAAATGCTTGCAGAATACCTAGATGCTTAGAATGATGTGAGTGACAGTTCCCTGTATTGTAACTGTTCATTTAATAGAAATATATCTGCTGCTTTATGGAGCCTCAGGTGCCTTAAAGTGGTTTGCACTAATAATACAATTTCATTAAAACAGTTAGGAAAATAAACAAAATAGTGATCAGCAAAATTAACATTGGATGGAAATATGCTTATTGCCTGCTTAAAAAACATCAACGAAGGACTGAATTATACATCTTGGAAGTAGGTTCCACAGCTAGATGCTGACACTAAAAATGCCATACCTTATGGTACTGATTCCCTTGATGACATAAACTAGTGGAAACTTTAGTGATTACAGTTAATGTCTTAGCAAGGTCTTGCAGGCAGACACTTTCCTTCAGATACTGTGGTCCCAAAAGATATAAAGCTTTATAGATAGAAATCAACATCTTACATTGTGCCTGAGAATGAATAAGAAGCTAATCCCAAAAAACAAGAGTTAGTATAATATGGTCAATAAGAGGGATATTCTAAAACATGTTACTTCCTTTAACTGCCTTAGTTCATTTCTAAACTTGATTTCCATAGAACTTCTATTGTAATTTTTTGATGTTGCCAGTTGGGAGCAAAAAGGGTAAGATTTGATGGAGAGTTAAAAAAAAAAAAAGATGTAGAATGAGTAAAATTAGGATCCTCAAATATAGTGGCAATTAGTGTGACACAGTCTGTCATCAATCATGCAACTCAGTGACATCTATTGAGAAAGCAGGGCTTAAAAAAAAGGCAGGTTGGCAGAAAGGTCACAGCAACGCAAACCCGGACCCCTTGGGTGTGAATGTATACAAAGGCACTAGACTTGCATTTCAACATCGCTTTCTCCTCCTTGCCTTTTTGACCTTGCATGCGTCTCCACCCTTCCTCCATGCAAATGAAGCTGGTAAAGCTCCAAAAACAATTTCCTCAAATCTTTGAATTCTGTTCACTAAGCCCTAGAACCATAATTTAGGAAATGTTTCTTTGGAAAGATTTGGGGGCTGCGTTGTCTCCTCAAATTCAGGAGGTACCATAAGTAGAAAATATATAGCGATCAAGACTAGTATTAGCATACATATTCTAACAGCAGCAAGATTGGCTTTTGCACAAAAATGGAAAAACAAAGAGACCCCCACAGAAGAAGTGTTAGCTAAAATATTAATTTGTGCGGAAATGGACAGGCTGACTTTGGAACTTAAAGATAAGAACGAATCAGAGTATTATGAAATCTGGAACAAATTTTACTATTGGCTGGAAAGGAAGAGGAATGCTGGGATAAAGGACCATTGACGAGTAAAACGTTTAGAAGTGTTTATGCTAATTTGTTATGCTAGATAATCAAATTAGATATCGATATAACCTATATGGATGAAAGAATATATATATTTGAAATGTGATAATTAGTGTAAACATGTATAGAGATAAGGAAGTTTATCAATTATATGACAAAATTTGATGAAAACATTTAAACCGGAGATGTCACGCTATGTCCATCGTTTTTAATTTTATTATAAATAAACTTTTTAAATAAATAAATAAAAAAGGCTAGTATTAACTGAGGTTTCTCTTGAATGTTGTGCAATCCTTTTCATTTTCTGATTAGAGCCTTTCTATCTTGCAGGCAAAGAAGTTGGTGGAATCTCTTCCTCAAGATATCAAAGTAAATGTTCGTAAAGACGAAGCAGAAAAGATTAAATCAGCTCTAGAGGCAGTTGGAGGCACAGTAGTTGTGGATTAAAGAATCTGCCTACCTGCCAAAGGACTTAAAGCAGAGCGGGGGAAGGACCCTCTGACTTGTGTCAGAGCCTGCTGACTGGTGGTGGAGTACTGTGCGGTTCCAGGAAAGTTGCTCTGCCCCATTTTTTTCTGCTGTGCAGTTTCCCATGGGGATGGCTCAGTGTGTAACAATTCTTTGGCACACCTTGCAGTCTGCTATGTGGTTAAAAACCTGTATTCATAACGAATATACGTGATGGATAACACCTGTAGAATATGTGTGATGATCCTTTCTTGCATGTTATAGGGGTTTTCACCCATCCAGCAGGTTCCTCAAGTTTGCATGGGTATTTGGACCGGTGTCCCTTAGTGGCAGATTTAATCATTTGTGGGAGGAGATGGGTGGGATCTTTGTAGATTTTGGGTCGTACTCTTAAGATCATCTTTTCAATAGAAGGTGTACGTGAAATTGATTCTCTTTTAATAAAGAAGGACAGCAGCTTGGAAATGTTAGCTTTTCCTGTTGTGACTTACTAGATTTAGTAGGAAAAATTTTCTTCCTGAAACATTTCCAAATCTGAGCAGGTTAAATTTAGGTAGGACAATACATTCTGCCAAGTTCCTTTGTTTATCCAATATCAGGGTAGATGGCTAGACCCCTGCCTTAGCCCTGATTGATGTCTGTTCTCTTCTGTGGGTGGCTCTTTTCCTCTCCCGTCTTTAGTCCCTTTTGGTATGATTTATATCAGCACGGCCTACAAGTATCTTTTCCTTGGCACTTGCTGTGTCTTGCGATACAGTAGTTTGCTGAATCTTGGCTCCTGTTTGAAGGTTTAATATAAGCCATTGTTCAGGTCAAAATGAATATTCTTAGTTTGTTTTAGATAGTTCACTCAATGGAACAAGATGTGGTTTTAGTCCAATGTCCATGTTGTTACACTTTCATTTAAAGCCAAGCTAAAGTGAACCCTTGGCAGCCAAGAGATTGTCTAAAGGCAGCTTTTAAGGCACACTGCTGAGGCTGATAGTTGGAATGCTGCTTTTGCAGTTTTAACTTTTCTCCAGCACCTGAGAATTCATAGAGGAGATTTAAAGTATGCAAATTTATGTGAGGCTTTAAAAACAGGAAGAATTTGAGACTTCTTTCTCTGTCATTTTTTCATCCTTTTCTTGAAGATAGCTTGGCAGTGGCTAATTTTTAAGTTAGGAAACAAATTTTACTGACCAATAAATTTATTGGGCATTTTCTACTATATTAATGCAATAAACAGTGCTAAATATTGCACCTCCTCCAAAATGTACCTACACAAATGTGTTTTCTGTGCTTGTACATCTCAAATATTTTCAAGATTGCTGAAGCCCTGTAAATAATATTGCCCTTTTACAGATGCAATTATGGAGACTTAGAACGAATTTCGGCAAATGAGCACACTTTTAGCAATTATTCTATCTGCAACAATCATTGGAAAGCAGCAAATACACCCTTCAAGACTGGAATGGTGATGATAAAGTATGGATGGAATGTTTCATCCTAAATATTATTTTCTGTTGTCTCTGATCAAGGCAGCAAGATTACTCAGAACATGTAAAACTATCAATTTTTCTTAATGCATTTGAGGATGCTCTTAAAGCAATTTGGAATGGCATGCCTTCAGAAATTATGGGTGGTCCATTATTAAAGGTCTTTAAAAGATTGGACAACAATTTGTCTGAAATAGTACAGGATCTGCTTGCAAAGAGGGTTAGACTGGACCTCCAAGTCCCTTCCAACTCTAATTCTATTAATTGAGAGAGTGAGCAAGGTTTTTGGTTTGTTCGTTTTTTTCAAAGAAGGTAAAATTATAAATTGCATCCCTGGTTAAATTGAAGAATTAACACCCTGCTACTGGGAAAAAATAGAGCAATTGTGTGCAAAATGTTTCTAATGTGTATTGCTTCAAGTCTGAAACAGGTTAACATAATTTTGGAAGCATTTTGGACTTGAAACAGTTTATTTTATTTATTTTTATTTTATTTCGAATTTATATACCGCACCTTCTCCCGAGGGACTCAGGGCGGTGTACAGCCAGATAAAAACATACAATACAAACATTAAAAACAATTAAAACAATGTATATTAATTTGGCCCCAGTTTAAAATGACAAACCAATTAAAAATATTTAAAAATATGTTAAGCCAGCCCTGCTTGCTGAAAAAAGAAAGTTTTAAGGGCACGGCGGAAGGCACCGAGGTCTTGGATTCTCCTTATCTCTGGGGGCAGCTGGTTCCATAGGGTAGGTGCCCCCACAGAGAAGGCCCTCCCCCTGGGGGTCACCAGCCTACATTGTTTGGCTGATGGCACCCCGAGGAGGCCCTCTCTGGGAGCACTGAAAAGAAAAGAACTCTGTGGGAGTTTTGAAATGATTGAGCCCATTTCAAAAGAATTGTTTCAGATGTAAAACGGTACAACTGTGGAAGTTTTGCACATCTTTATTCAGAACCAGCAGTAAATCATGCAAAATGAATGCCCTCTTAGGAGCCTTGAAGATGACTTTGCTGCAGGATATACAATGTTCAGATTGCTATGCCAAAGGCAATGCAGGAGTTAGAAAAGCTATAGCCAGTAGATCTGAAGAACATCTGTCAAAGGAAGACTGATGTATACAGTACAACTATGTTAACTATCTAAAGGGGAGCCAGCTTTGCAAGAGGGCAGCTTATATACACAAGAAAGACGGAATGGCAAGAAGAGGCTTTAAATTCAATAGTTTGGTGAAACAGCAATGCAATGCAAACTAAAGCTGAATTTTTAATTTCCTACCAAACATCCCCAGTAAAGGGAGGGGAAAGAAGACAGCAAGACTTGCTCCAAAACATACATATTTTATGGTACATTTTAGGATTACAAATCCTTAATCTATCTCATAACGTCATAAAATAGTCTTTAGGCGGCCGCCTTACAAATGTGCATAGGAAAAAGCGCTTTGCGGCTTGGTGAAAACGTCTTCGGAGCCGCCTTAGACTTCAACGCCAACCCCAGAAATTCGAGTCCCTCTCGCGAAAGAGAAGCCAGGTCGGGAACCCGCACAGCCCGGGAAACACCTGGCCCCTCTTGCAAGCTGCGCACCTTCGGCCTCCCGGTTGCTCTTTTAAGCTCTCCCTCCTCCTCCGTCGCTCACGGCGTTGCCCGTTTAAGGCCGCCTCATTCGGGTGTGCAGAGCAGAGGCTGGGCTTGCCGGATCCGAAAGAAGGAGGGAGGGGAGGGATCGGCGAAAGCCAGTCTCGCCAGCAGGATGGCGGAGAAACGCGTGTCCCGCTGGTACTTCGGGGGCCTGGCCTCTTGCGGGGCGGCGTGCTGCACGCACCCGCTGGATTTACTCAAGGTGCGTCCTGGCAAGGGAGGGAAGCAGGGAAGGAGGACTCTTTCTTACTCGGCCGCTTGCTTGTCCTGCAGCCGATGTACAGCAGGCTGCGGTAGGGCTAACTAAGGTCTTCCCGGCAGCTACTTCCTTGATCAGTCCAGGGCCCGAGAAGCCTGGTAGGAGCCTCTACCTGGGGCAAATGCGTGGTATGGCCGGAGGCGGATCTCCAACCGTTACCATGGCTGCAATGGTTGCCCAGCTGCCATTTTGGCGCCCTTTAGTCCTAGGCGCCTGACAATAAAGTAGAATATTTGTAGCTCGGGGTTGAAATGAGGGGGGTCCTTAGTGCTCCCTTGAGCTGGCTTGTTTCCTTGCAGACGTTTCATTACCCTAATTAGGTAACGTCATCAGTGCTAGTAAGGAGGGCTGTTTGCTGTCAGTTTATATTCTACTGACTTGTTTGTCTGCGTTGCCTGCTTCCATTCATCTTTCTGCTGCCAAGAAATGTACAGAAATCCCTAATTGCCCGCCCGAAAGGCAGATAACCACAAGGAGAGCCAGACTGCCCCCCCCCCCTTGGCTTTGGTGTGATGCTGGGGCTGCCTCTTATTTGGCTATACAAGCTTTTCTTCTAGGATTCTAGTCCAACAACTCTCAGGCAGTTGAAGCAAGAAAGTATTGCCCAATTTCATCGCTATTAAAGCATTGTGGGAAGTAGAAAAGCTACACAAATGTTAAAGAGGCCAGAAACACATTTCTTTGCCTTCTTTGCTTGACTTTGACGGAGAACTTGAAGGCACTTACAAATTCCTCTGAGGCTCCTTGGCCAAGACTTCCACTAGTGACTAGGACACTTCTGAAAGAACTTTTCAACTTTCCTGATCTAATTAATGTACAACAATATTTCTTCACAAAGCAACAGCTCCTGATACTAACTAGTTTTAATGACTGCAAATTAATGACCGCAAATGAGCCCAAAATTTCTGTTGCTAAGTGAGACATTTGTAAAGTGAGTTTTACCCCATTTTACAACCTTTCTTGCCACAGCTATTAAATGAATTACTGCAGTTGTTAAGTTAGCAACATAGTTGTTAAGTGAATCTGGCTTCCCCATGGACTTTGCTTGTCAGATGGCCGCAAAAGGGGATAATGTAACACTGCAATTGTCATAAATGAGCCAGTTGCCAAGTGTTTGAATTTCGATCACGTAATCACAGGAATGCTGCAACAGTTTTAAGTGTAAAAAATGGTCAAGTCCTTTTTTCAGTGCCATTGTAATTTCAAACAGTCACTAAATGAACTGACGTAAATCGAGGACTACTATTTATTTTATTTTTTTAGTAATCCTCAATTATTTTTTTAGTTTGGAAACTTTATTGCTTGATTGTGAGAGTCATCTTCCTGTCTTTGCATACAAGCCTCAGTTCAGTCGATATACCAGAATTGCACCTGCAGCATTTCCCCTTGAAATACAGGTAGTCCTCGACTTATAACAGTTCGCTTAGTGGCTGTTCTAAGTTACAATGGCATGGAGAAATGTCTCTTATGACCATTTTTCACAGTTACAACCTTTGCAGCATCCCCATGGTCCTGGGATCAAAATTCAGATGCTTGGCAACTGTTATGACGGTTGCTGTGTTCCAAGGCCATATGATCCAACTTTTGCGATCTTCTGACAAGCAAAGTCAATGAGGAAGTCAGATTCACTTAACAATCATGTGACTAACTTATCAATTGCGATTTGCTTAATAACTGTAGCAAGAAATGTCGTAAAAAGGGACAAAACTCACTTAACAAATGTCTCAATTAAGGACAGAAATCTTTAGCAGATGAGATGAATTTCAGAGCATGATAGTTTCTAGCCCTGTCCAAAACATTCTGCACTCCTATTCTTTCTACATGGCATTCTAAGAATGGTTGTTCTTAAGGCTGCCTGTTGCTGGATTTTTGGGCCATGCTTGCCAGAAATTCAGATAGTTGTAGCCCCAAAGCCTATGGAGGGCAACAGAATGCAGAAGACTGAGTGAACAACAGTGGTATCCGTTGCAGAACATTAACCGTGCTTGTAATAGCTCTGGTATATCCTTGGGACACTTATCAAGGTCAACCCATAGAAAAGAATAGAGGTGGCATAAATTGGTCAGGCTGCTCAATCTGTTAAAGGCAATTTGCTTTGGAACAGGTGCTTTGAGGGCTTTGCAAGTTTCCATATCCAGCCTCCAGAGCGTTTCCAGATCAAACCTGTTTTATAATCTCACTCATGCTTTTCTCTTCTCAGACATTTGGCACACTTAAATGTGGTCTATGTGGAGGAAAGTTTCCATTTGCTTGTCATTGCCTGCCTATTGGCACCTTCAAGTCAACACAAAGGTGCTAACTCTTGCAGAATTCCTCTTCCTCCTGCATGTGTTCCCTCTGTGACCTGCTGGCTAGCTGCTTGAGGAGCAAATTCCAATTTCATGCTTTACAATAGATCTTTGAACTATCATTAAAAAATTGGTACAATGCCCATCTTAGTCAGAGCTAACTTTTCATTGCCCTCCCCTGACAGCAGATACTTCTGTAGCTTCATCTAATATATATTCTCATCACAGGCTACTTCAAGACATTGATTAGTTAAAGACGATGTACTAGATATTACTCTTAACTGATGAACCACATTGATAGAAATCTGAGGGGGTTGCATTCAAGTGCCTGTTCCCAGCTATTCATTGGGCTTTTAGGACTCCTCTTATACTGGGTGGAATGGAAGAACGTTTGTGCTACTAGACTGAATGTTTGTGTTTTCTCCTGGCATCTCATACAGTACATTCCATATATTCGCCTCCTTGTCTTGTTCAGCTCTCCTCCTTCTACAGCAGGGGTCCTCAACCCCTGGGCCACAGCCCACTACCGGGCCGCAGCCTGTTCAAAACTGGGCCATGAGAGAGATTGGACAAGTGCGTGCACAGGCAAAGCTCTGCTCACAGATATGGAGTTGTGTGTATGCATGTGCGTGCGCCTGCGCCTGCCACTCGCATACACACACCATGCCGGTCCACCAAGCTGAAAATTTTGGGAACTGCCGTTCTACAGGAGGAAGAGTAATCAGCAAGCCAAACAGCGCTACTATGTTGTTTGATTAACTTTGGGGGCCTTTCACCTAGAACTTCTGTGTGGTTGTATTATTATTAACTTGAGTTGCCCCATAGCAGCACAGAATAGAATAGTTATCTGGGAGCAACTTTTAAGTTGGATTTCCATGCTGCAGAACTGGATAGCTTAACAAGCTCTCAGTATTGCCGAGTCCTGTGCAAACCTTGGGGTCTTTTGCACTGGCTGAAAGACGTGTTGTTTGCTTTTCACTATTAAAACATCCAAAGTTAACTGCCAATTAGATATACAGTGAGGAATGCAGGGCAGAGCTCTGTCAAAAGAAGAAGAAAGATGAAATTGGAATGGTTGTGGCTAAGAACTAGAACTTGGTGCTTCTGGCTAGATCAGGCATGTCCAACCCACAGGCTGGGTTGGACATGCCTGGACAGCTAGTAATATGGCCTCACAAGATGGTAAACTTTTAACACCATTATGTGATTTACATACATTAACTATAATATATATTTTAAATGCGGCCCAAGACAATCCCTCCTCACTCAGTGCTGTCCAGACAACCCAAAAGGTTGGACACCCATGGCATAGATATTTCCACTTGAGCGGTTAACAAACCCTATTAGAGAGGAAGGAAAGGAATCCAAATGTTTTTATCATAAATTTCTAGATCAAAGATATTACCGGTGTTATTTCTTATGTGAAACTGGAAAGATCAGTCATAGCTACTGGGAATCTTTTGTCTTTAGGGCCAGGGCAAAATGTTCTCTTTAAGCATGAGCCAGTGGAATCCAGGGCTAGAGGGATAGAGGCAATTTTATGGGCTTCTTATGGGCTTATGGGCAATCTTCCGGGCTTCTTGCATCCGGAGTGTTTCAGTGCCTTCTTATTTGGCCTGGGATGCCCCTCAGCAAATGAGATCCAGAAAATGTGAACTTGACCTATCTGCCACTTCTGCTTAGGTTCATCTGCAAACTCAGCAGGAAGTGAAGATGCGCATGACAGGGATGGCGCTACGTGTGATTCGCAACGATGGTTTTCTAGCTCTCTACAATGGGCTCAGTGCCTCGCTTTGCCGACAAGTGAGTGTTTGGCTGCTGCTAAAATGGCTCACCTCATCATCTGCCATCCTGCTTGTTGTGTCCGGTGCCAGCTTCTTGCTTTCATCATTGGCAATGAGAATTCTGCACTTCTGTCCAGCATTTTCTCCTAAAAATCCATGTTGAGCATTCCGATGACATTCAAGCTCCCAACCAAGCACTTATGAATTTTATGCACTCTCTGAAACTGTAGAATTGTAACAAAATGTCTGTAAAATACTAATGATGAAAATAGAATATTGTTGACTACCTATAGCCATATTGGTAGATCAGGCAAACGCTAAGTATGGAAATTTATGAAATAAACCTGTGTGTTTCTGGAGTTTAACAGAATATGTGCAGGTGGGAAACCTGTGTGTTTCCAGAGTTTAGTAGGTAATATGTGTAGATGGGAATAACTTGGAGCAGAAGCAATTAATTATTTCCACTTCATAATATTTTGACAGTGACAGCTTTTTCCTTCTGCACCTTAAGATCTTGGTTGTTTTTTTCACATACTACATAAATATCTTGCAGAGGCTGATTCTGCAGTCTAAATCAGTCATTCTGTATTAAGCCAGTTGTAATGCTGGCGTTTATGATTTTCATCATTAAGCAGGATCTGAGGGAAAAACTTCACTTGCAGTCACACTTGCCATATATTTTTACAAGCACGACAAACTTAGCCAGGGCAATTTTTTTTTTAACAATAATAATAAAAAACTGAAAGCAAAATTTTTTCATCTTTTAGTGGGGTATACCAAGGATGTTAGATGCACAGAAGTAGAACAGGCATGTCATACTTGCTTAATAAACTTAATTTGCTTATTTTTCTATTTACAAATAGCTAAATGTTATTGCTGCCCAATTTGGGCACTGCAGTTAGGAGGAACCAGCACAGGTAAAGGAGGAGGGGGAAGAGCTTGCATGTGGCCTGCGGACAATGGATATTTGTGATTCTGATGAGCAGGTGTCCTAAAGGTGCTTTTTCAGGAGTCAGCTGGACTTTCTTGTTTTTTCTTTGAAGACATTTCGCTCCTCATCCAATGTTTTCAAAGAAAAAACAAAGTCCTGTTGACTCCTAAAAAAGCACCTTTGGGACAACCATGACCTGGGTGATTCAGAATCTCCATAGACTGATGAGCAGTTGCCACATCCTCTTGTGACTCTTTTCTGCTTCTTCAGATGACGTACTCTCTCACCCGCTTTGCCATCTATGAGACAGTGCGAGACAGCTTGAGCCAGGGTGCCCAGGGGCCATTGCCCTTCTACCAGAAGGTGCTGCTAGGTGCAGTAGGAGGTGAGCTGGGGCTTGGCAAGTACAGAAAGAAGGGTGAAGTCATATCAGGCTGGGCAGTGGTTTTTCATCTGCTGTCCTTTGGTTGCAGGATTTACCGGTGGATTCGTGGGGACCCCAGCTGATATGGTGAATGTCAGGTCAGTTTTTCTTTCTTCTCCTCCCCAAAACTCAGTTCTGGATCTTTAGGAGGATCCTAAATTAGTGGAGGGTAGAGAAGGATTTTATTTTGCCAAGAACAAGGCTACAATTTGGTGAAATCTGCACTCTTAGGATATTCTAGTGCAGGGCTGTCAAACTCGTGGCCTGTAGCAGTGGTAAAATCCAAATTTTTTTACTACCGGTTCTGTGGGTGTGGTTTGGTGGGCATGGTGTGGCTTGGTGGGTGTGGCTAGGTGGGTGTGGCAGGGGAAGGATACTGCAAAATCTCCATTCCCACCCCACTCCTGGGGGAAGGATATTGCAAAATCTCCATTCCCACCCTACTCTGGGGCCAGCCAAAGGTGGCATTTGCTGGTTCTCCGAACTACTCAAAATTTCCTCTACCAGTTCTCCAAAACGTGTCAGAACCTGCTGGACTTCACCCCCGGCCTATAGGCCAGATGCATCATGCGCTGCCTACGCCCACACCCAGTTTAGCGAAGGGGGGGAAAGTCGTGATTCGTCACATGACGACACTGTGATGACGCAGGTTTGACACTCCTGTTCAAGTGTCTCTACTTCTTAAGGTCGTTTCGAGCAAACAAAGCTATATTTGGTGGGGTGCTTGAAGAGAGAGGTTTTTTTTTTTCCCACATCTCAACACTGCTGTCATGTTCTTTTCCAGGATGCAGAATGACATTAAGCAGCCAGCACATCTGCGACGCAAGTGAGTATCAGAGCTGTATCAGATGCAAAAAGTGAACAAATATGGGAAGGCAAAGAAGAGCATTGGGGGAAGGAAGGGCTATGTGGCCTGTCTCTGTTCAAAAAAAACCCTCTTGAATATGCAGGAGCACAGAGGGACAAAATTGATCTTCAGATGTTCATTCTCTCAAGTCTAAGATCTCTTTTAAATTGGTGGCAATCTCACCACAGATGTCTAAATCCCATCTGTCAGAGTTATCAGACAGAAAATGGGATTAAAAGTCTTCAATAGTAGCCAGCTGGGGTAGTGAGCGCCTGTCAGAATTACATGAATATTAATGAAAGCTGTTATCTCTTCCTGTTTTCCAGCTACTCCCATGCCTTGGATGGCCTGTATCGGGTGTTTCGTGAAGGTAAGAATGTAATCAGTGTACAGCCGAAATATATTGTGACTCTAGGACAGGGATGTCAAACTCGTGGCCCACGGACCAGATGCGTCACACGCTGGCCACACCCATCCCTGGTTTCGCGAAGGGGGAAAAAGTTGTGATACATCATGTGACGACGTGACGACACGAGTTTGACACCCCTGCTCTAGGAGACCCTTGTTGAATTAAGCTTACTTGAAGGGGAAAAGAATCCCCTGAGCAGAACACTCTATAGTAGAATTTGTGGGCAACTAGTGGCCCTCCAGGAAGGGCTACATTATGACTTCTGTGGGTCCTAGGCACTTTTGTCTTTGTCCCTTTCTCTAGAACAGGAGTGGGGAACTATAGCCCTTTTCTGACTTGTGGACTTCAACTCCCAGAATTCCCGAGTCAGCCATATTGACTCAGGAACTCTGGGAGTCGAAGTCCACAACTCATAAAGGGGCCATAGTTCCCCATCTCTGCTCTAGAGAAATAATGCAGATAGTCCTTACTCTGATAATTGGAACCAGCAACTCTGTTGCCCAGAGTCCCTTGGGAGTTGGGCGGCAAAGAAATGCAACAAAATAAATAAATAAATAAATAAATCTGTCACTAAGTGATCGTAAAGCATGATGTCATCTGACTACATCAAGTTACAACAGCGGTTGTGGCAGTTCTGTTTGCTGTTGTTAAGCGAATCCTGCATGTTTGTTAAGCATGACACCATGTGATCACTATCTCAGACCTCCTGCCAGTTTTCCCACTGACTTTGCTTATCGGAAGCCAGCAGTGAAGGTCACAAATGGTGATCACCTGACCACATCACACGGCGACTATTTTAATGGCAAACTGATTGCCAAGTGTCTGAATCATGATCATGTGACGGGGATGCTGTGATAGCCACAGTGGTCTTGTAAGTATCTTTGTTCAACTCCATCAGATGATTGCTGAATGGTTGTTAAACAAGGACTACGTATTTAGTGTGATTTTTCAACATTTTCTGGCATACTTTTCTCTTATAACTTCTGATGATTTAATATCACAAAGATGTGAGAATTAAATTTTCTTGGTAGCATTTAATATATGATTAAGCTTTTAATTTGCATTCTGTGCATATTTTATTTGTATTTTATGTATTTGTACTATGTATATCTTCAAGAGTGAAAGACAAGACATGAAATTTCTACTTCACTTTTATTCCTTCTGTGTTAAAAGGATTTTTTGTGAGCCTTAGGCACTGTGCCTCTTGTGCCTAATGGGTAAGCAGGTCCATTTTCAGTAATCCAGCCAGTGGAGGTGGGTGCAGGAGCCCAGTATGTGGTTGTCGTGGTTGCCCCATCCTGGTGGTCTTATATCTTCTCTCTTTTCAATTGGAGGTTGATCCTTACGGATCAGTGATGCTTCTAGTTATAGGTTGTCCTCAAATTACAACCACAATGGCGTCCCAAATTTCTGTTGCTGAGCAAGACAGTTTGCTAATTGCGTTTTGCCCCATTTCACGACCTATTTTGCCATAGTCATTGAGTGAATCACTGCAATTGTCATTAAACGACATCTGGCTTCTCTCCCCCCCAACACCCCTTTGACTTTGTTTGTTGGAAGCTGTCAGGAAAGGTTACAAATGGTGATAACAGGACCCCCGGTACAGTGAAACCATCATAAATAACATGCCGGTTGCCAAGCAACCATATTTTGATCACATGATCATGGGGGTGTTATGATGGTGATGAGTTTGAAAACTGATCACGAGTCAATTCAGTGCCATTGTAACTTCAAAAAGCCACTGAACGAATGGTTTATAAGTCGAGGACTACCTGTATAGGCAGAAGGCACCATGAAGTATTCTTGAGGCAGAGGCTTTTGAAGCAGGTCCTCGGCTTCCTCCTTGCCAGGTACAGAAGGTAAAAATCAAAGCCCTTCTTAAGATCCAGATTGTGGTTCTTGAGAACTGAGCAATCTTCCTCCAAACGCCTTCCGGGTGTTTGATTTGAACTGTCTGATTTATAGCCTGCGTAGTCCTAGATGACAGCTGGTGTCCCATCCAAATCTCACTTTGAAGCCAGAAGTGAGAGTAGCTTGTTTTGCTCAAGGATATTAGCTCTCAGAGTGCAATGAATGTGAAATTTATCAGGGTTATTTTTGAAATTGAACTCGTGGCAGAGCATATAAAATGCACTTGTATTAGCCAGAGCGTCTTTGCTACAGTTAGATTTCATCTGCAAGCATTTAATAGGATCTTCCCTTGATCTTCATCAGCAGATGTATTTGTTTGCCTCTTTCATTGTGGCTACATACATTGAGGCATCTTTCTTTTCAAACACAGCCGTCTAACCTTTTTATAGCCATTATATCCAGTCTGGGATGTGTATTGCTGATTGGTTTATTCTGCTCATTTACGGGTGTTTTCGTAAATATACTCTGCCATTCTTTTTCCTTGGGAGTAATAGAAGAATACCTGTTCTTGAGGGATGCCTTGTGGGGAGGAAGTGTTGCATCTGCACAGGATAAGCGGAAAACACCACTAAAATGAAATCTGTAAACACCAGGCTTTTGTCTTTGCAGAGGGTGTGAGGAAATTGTTCTCAGGAGGAACAATGGCATCCAGCAGAGGAGCCTTGGTTACCGTTGGACAGGTAAGAATCCAGAGTCAATGTTGCCTGTGAGCCTCTTCTGAACATAAATAAGTGTGTCCGTTTAGGCCAAGAATGGACAGGTAGTCCTCAACTTACAACAGTTCGTTTAGTGACCATTCAAAATTACAACGGCACCGAAAAAAGTGACTAATGACCATTTTTCACTGTTATGACCTTTGCAGCATCCCCATGATCATGTGATCAAAATGCTTGGCAACTGATTCATATTTATGACGGTTGCAGGGTCCCAAGGTCATGTGATCACCTTTTGCAAACTTCTGACGAGCAACTAATGTAACAGCTGCAGTGATTTACTTAATAACCAGGGCAAGAAAGGTCACACAATAGAGCAAAACTCATTTAATTACTGTCTTGCATAAGAACAGAAATTTGGGGCTCGGTTGTGGTCGTATGTTGAGGACTACCTGCAGATACACATTCATAAACATGAAGGATGCGCAAAATTCATGGACCTGAAACAGAATATTTGAGGGAACCTCAGAATACTCTGGTCCCCTTCCAGGGCGTGCCAGTCCAAGGGCAAGATCCAGTTTGGTCTAATGGTTAAGGCACCAGTTCTAGTCCCACCTTAGACATGAAAGCTGGTTGAGTGACCTTGGGCCAATCCTGCCCTCTGGATCTAAACAAGGGTGGTTGTTATGGGGAAAATAGGAGGAAGCAGGAGTATTAGGTATGCTCATCAGCTTGCGTTACTTATAAAAAATAATAAAGGTGAGATAAATATTGGTGGTTTTCAGAAAGAAATTTCCCAGGAGTGGTTCAAAATACTCTGAATATGGCATTAGATCTGGGGCACTTCGAACATGGGATTGATTCAGGAAGCTATGAAGTTGCCTTCGGAATAGATCACTTGATGAGCTAAATATTCCACCATTTTCATGCTGCCTCTGTCCAAACCGTTCAGTTGTACATAGCAAGAGCAATAGCCCTTAGACTTATATACCGCTTCACAGTGCTTTACAGCCCTCTCTAAGCAGTTTACAGAGTCAGCGTATTGCCCCTAACAACTTGGGTCCTCATTTTACCCACCTCGGAAGGATGGAAGGCTGTGTCAGCCTTTGAGCCTGGTGAGATTTGAACTGCCAAATTGCAGTCAACCAGCAGTCAGCAGAAGTAGGCTGCAGTACTGCACTCTAACCACTGCACCATCTTAGCCAATGTACGTCCGTTTTTTAAAAAGTATGTTTCTGTAAAGCCCACTATCCATAGAATCTTCTGGTTGTGTGCATGTGCCAGTTGTGCCCATTCTAGATCAGGGGCACTACTCATGGTCACTCGTGCCTTGGTCACCTCTTGGTTAGACTACCACAATACACTCTACATGGGGCTACAGTATCTTCAGCTGGTGCAAAATGCAGTGTTGAGAGCAGTTACAGTATGTGTATCTCTGGTAGAACAAACATCACTCCTCTGCTTTATGAGCTGCATTGGTTATCAGTGTGTTGCCAGGTGCTGGTGTGAACTTTTAAAGCCCTTCATGGCATGGGACCAGGTTATTTGAGAATCACCTGTTCCCTATTTCATCTGCCCATCTAATCAGATCCAGCAGAGAGAGCATGTTATAATTCCATCACCTAGGGCAGTGGCCCCCAACGGGGCTTTGCTTATTTGCGCAGCCCAGTTTCTGGGGTTGGGGATAGGTGAACTATTGAGGTGGCTCCAGTTTTTTAACAACTCTTCATTTACTATTCTTTGTATTAGCTTTTATACTTTTTAATGTATTTAATGTATGAGCCGTAGTGGTGCAGTGGTTAGAATGCAGTACTGCAGGGCTAACTCACTGCTCACTCCAGGAGTTCAATTCTGACCGGCTCAAGGTTGACTCAGCCTTCCATCCTTCCAAGGTCAGTAAAATGAGGACCCAGATTGTTAGGGGCAATATGCTGACTCTGTAAACTGCTTAGAAAAGGCTGTAAGACACTGTGAAGTGGTATATAAATATAAATATAAATATAAGCGGTATATAAGTGTGAGTGCCATTGCTATTTATTAACTGTTTTTAGCTTTGTTATACGCTGTCCAGAGTCACTTGTTTGTGAGATGGGTGGCTATATATAATTTGGTTTAATTGATTAATAAAACAAATACTCAATATTTGTGTTCTCCTTGTGGATTTTAAATTGGCAGCTGGTCAGCCGTTATGGAAATTCTGTAGCCACTTTTAATCAAGCAAAGCTCTGTCTTAGATTCTTATATTGTATAGAAGTTCTTACTAAATTCTGAGAGAATGGTATTCCATGGTGTCCAGAAATGAATAGCAAGGTGACTTCAGCTTTCCTACTTAGGATATTTAAAGTATTTTAAGCATCTTTCTTCTCTGCTTCTCATTCAAGAGGACAAAATTTAACCGACTGGCTATAATCCCTTGTATTCTGTCTGTGTTTCTGGGACTGCAAAAAAAAGTGGAGACTGGAGAAGGTTACAGAAGGAGGAAGGTTATTCTTTGAGGAGGATATGTAGTACTCCTTTTCTGTGGGGAATTAACTCTGTACGATGGCATCACCCTGGGGAAATTGTGAAGCCACAACAGGGTTAGGGAATGTAATCTCAACAGCTCAGGCACACTTTGGCGTGATGTTTAGATGTTTAACAACTGCAGACCACTGGCACCTTTATTTTTATGGTAGTCCCAGTGGGAAAGGAGAGGCTCTTCACAGATCCATTACGGCAGGATTGTCAAACTCCTGTCAGATGCGTCATGTGCTGGCCACGCCCATGCCCGGTTTAGCAAAGGGGGGAAAAAGTCCCGTTACATCACATGACAACGCAAGTTTGACACCCCTGCATTAAGGGCTCCAAACTAAAAACCCATGAACTCCTAACCTGATCTACCTGATCCCTTGGGGTTTAGCAGAAGTTTGAGCCCGTCTGCTTAATTTCCAAATCTGCTCATGACGCTCACAAACAGCCTTATTGTTTTCCGTTTCTTTGCAGCTCGCTTGCTATGACCAGGCAAAGCAGTTGGTTCTTGGGACCGGTTTACTCACTGACAATATTTTTACTCATTTCCTGGCCAGTTTTATTGCCGTATGTATATATCCGTGTTGGTGCAAAGTGAGCTAAGGGTGTGTATTTGTGTGCCTTTATAAGAGTTTTTGCTACTTATGCTAATGTTCAAGGGTTGCTCTGCCAGTTCCTTGGAAAGGTGGAGTACAGCCTATTTCCCAGAGCTGCCAAGGCTGAGAGTAGGCTGGATTGCTGCATATATCCAGGTTTTCTCTGCATGTTTTGGGCACCTTGTCCCTGCATTTTAATTTTAAGAGGGAAATGTCTGTTGATTAAGAAAAATCACATTGTAAGGTTAAAGTGGTAGATGAATATCAGCACACAGGTGGTGGCTCACCAAGGCAAATAAAACACAGATGCATTTGGCATTGCTACTCTACCCACCCCCCCACCCCCCTTATCTGATGCTTTAAAAAGTATGCAAGATCTAAACGTCACACTTAATGGGAGACTATTCTGATTTACATAGATCCAAAGTCCTCGTTATTTTAAGCAGCTGCTAAAGTGCACCTGAGTTATCCACATAGTTTGCAAAGCTATGTTTTGTTTTGTTTAAGCGGGCTTTATTAAATGAACTATTGTCTGGATTTACATTATGCTCTAAAGCTAGACAAGAAATTGGCAAGCCAAGGCCCATTTTTTCAGGCTTTGGAGCAAACCCTCCCCCCCACCTTCCCGGATTTCTGAAAACAAAGGATATTTTTTGCTATTTTAGCTAGAAAACAGGTGAAAATTAACAGTGTTTTAACTATGGTCCTTCACCAGCCAAGGGTGCTCATCTGTGCCAGAATTCATGGTTTATTTGCCGATTGATAAAGGCAAAGGAAAGGTCATTAAAAGGGAAGAGTATCTTCTAGATACAATGCCATATACTTTACATAAGAAATGGGGTTTACAGATGACTTCAAAGACAAGAAGATTAGCTGTTAGGGAGGCTGTCCCAGGCTATGAGGTCAGATTAACAGGAGGCTCTAGAGCAGGGGTGTCAAACTCACTATGACACGTTGTCATGTAATGTATCACAACTTTTTCCCCCTTCACTAAAATGGGGGTGACTGTGGCCAATGTGTAATGTATCCATGAGTTTGACACCCGTGCTCTAGAGTAGGGTTTTTCAAATTGACAATTCAATTGTCAATTTGGGACTTCAATTCCCAGAATTCCTTAGCCAGCATATTGGCTGAGGAAATCTGCAAGTTGAAGTCCACACATCGTCAAGTTGCCAAGTTTGAAAAACCCTACTCCAGGGGGAAAACAAAGTTTCTGATTCTTCTATAAAAGATCATGCAATAACTCCAGAAGCTCTAACTTGCTTGGGATGATGCGAGTTGTAGTTGAACACATCTGAAAGAGGTGAAGTTAGAGAAGACTTATTTTCCATTTTAAGCCTGTCTAACTGATTGTCTTTTAGTTTCATGCAACTGGATGGCTGTAATGGCCTGCCTAAGTGAAAAGACTTTTCCCATTTCTAATGGGGCAGGAGAGATGTGGTGCATTGTGCATACCCATCTGATATACAATAGGTTATATTCAGTTCCAGCTAGAACACAAGCCATTCTCCCCCATGCAACGTCTCAGATCAGTCTGAATCTGTTTTGTCATCCTCCTTTTTCTGAACTGCAGGGAGGATGTGCTACATTCCTGTGTCAACCCTTGGATGTGCTAAAAACACGACTTATGAATTCCCAAGGCGAATATCGGGTGAGTGATTGGTTTGCCGTGATTGCCAGCTTTCTGATTCGTTAGAGAGCAGGTGCTCACATTAAACACCAGTGGCTAGGCATTGCTGTCTTTGCCACTTGGCGTCACAGCCCTGTGATTTCAGCATTGTTCTGTTCTTGAATTTCATTAAAAAGCTAAGAGATGAAACCTTGTGAGGATCTGGGTGGGTTCTGGAGCTGGAGTCAAATCCGCATGCACTGAGTTCTTCCCATTTTGTTTCAGGGTGTCATGCATTGTGCAGTGGAAACGGCCAAGCTTGGGCCATTGGCTTTTTATAAGGTAATATGGGAGAGATGAGAGCCACAGTGAGTAATCATGGCATATAGATCAAACAGGAGCAGAAGAATTTGCTTAGAATTTCTCATATTCCCATGCATTCCTGTCCCATAAGTGCTGGCCTCCATCCTGTTTCTGTCTGATTGTTTACCTTAATCAAAACGTGCAAGGTGGCCTCCATCTTTTCTCTCCAGTGCTTAGCCATTGGTGGCAACTAGCCTGAGGCTAAGATCTCCCCTTATTGGTTTAGGGCTGCTGCCCAGTTATAGACAAGACACAGGGGAGCAGAATATGCAATATGTACTTTGTTTTAGCAATGAGTTCTCATCTGTCATATGCCGTTTGATTCCTATTCCTACCTTGCCTTCTTATATCAATGTGTATTAGAGAAGGCTACTGTATGCAGCTGAAACTCCACAGTGGCCAAAGCTGATTTTTCCCCCTCTTTTCCTCTTCTAGGGCCTTGTTCCTGCCGGCATTCGCTTGGTCCCTCATACTGTGCTCACTTTTGTCTTCCTGGAGCAACTACGCAAATACTTTGGGATTAAAGTATTGACCTAAGGGAGAAGAGACCTGTTAAGAGTTAAAAAAAGATGGGGAACAGGGACTACAGAGTTCCAGAATTGTTGGGTGTCATATTCTTTCCCTCCTTGAGGGGCAGGTACCCCCTTCAGTGCCAGGGCACTGTCTGACATCTCACAGAAAGTCCTTGTTTGGCATCTGCTCTTGGCCAGCTCTTCAATATGGTTTGGTGCCTACTAGTGGAGTAGCCCACTAGGATTTTCAGTGACCAGTCCCAAATACCTCTCTTCCCTGCCCATCAGCATCCAGGACCTTTTGAGTGTTGAAGGCTTGCTAATACCACAGCATTCCTCATCAACTCCCAACCTCTCTGTCTCCTTGCCATAATAGCCAGCATTCCAACAGCCATGTCTGATTTTTTTTTCTTATTAATATGCTTTTCTTTTGTGCTGTCAACAGGCATGTGCCTCATTCAGAAGCCGCCCCCCCCCCACACACACACAATGTTGAAAACATTGTTCTCCTAGTCTCATGTATAGCCATACCCTTCCCATCTGTGTAAGGATTCCTTTCTCCCCAAGCGGAAGGGTGTTGGCCTTTATGTGGGAGGGAGATCCTTCATCACAAGTTTGTTTCACTTCTAAATGTTACAGTTAGGGGCTGGAAAGGGGTTCTGGTGGCTGCCAAGGGCAGTTGATAGCAATATCAGGCAGGCAGGGCCTTGACATAGCAGGGTCTCCAATTATTATTCAATAATGTGGAGAGAACAATGCTTTTCTCACTCTGTCCTGCCTGCTCCCTTTCTCCTACCTCAGTCTTCTTTTACCCTTAGAGCTGCAGTCCAAGGAACAAGCGGTCCTCTGTGTTTATTTCCTGGGATTGTGGCATTGGGCAAGTGATGTCCTTCCACACACCCCAGTCCGTAGCCAGTCTAATATCACTCTTCTCCTTCAATTGCCTCCTTAAGCTTGTTCAACCAAAGCCTTCTGAAGCCAAAGGGCCTTATACTGATGAGAGGGTGCCTTGGAAACTCCTATCTAAGAGGGAACAGGTTTTCTGAATGCATGTAGATCTCCCCCCATCCTGTGAATGGGCAGTGCAGCTGCCCACTTAAAGTTCAGAGATGGGAGGTAAAACTGGAGAGGCCTTGTGAGGTCCTTGGAAGAATAAAAAAAAGGAGCCTAGCAAATGGGATCCTTTTTGTCCCTGTGGGATATGGGCTTCGATGTCAAGTCAGAAGGCCACCAATTTTTTATAGTAACTACAATATATTTGTTTGTCGAGCTTTTATCCTGAGCCTTTCTGGTACCACTGGAAGAAGCATCAAAGGCTGTGGAATCTTCCCAGATTGCCTTGCTCTTACTGTGACAGCATCTAGATCCTACTGTAACATTGATGTATTCTTTGTTTTTCTGTCTCGGAGCCTGTTTAATGAAAAAAAAATGGGGCATCTATTGATTTTATCGTCCACTAACCTGTGGAAGGGCTGCTGGCCACATTCAGTGTGCCATTCGGGGGGGTGGGGAGTGGGGGTGTGATTATTGCCAATTCCAAGAATCGGAGCCAGTGATCAGCACTTTAGGAATCATGAAAATAAAGTGATTGTGCAAAGCAGGTGTTATTTATTTCTAGATTACCAAATAATCTTACACGCTGCAATGTTGCGTTCATTCCAGAATTGAAGCTGCAAATACTTGGAGCAATAATTGTACAATTGTAGAGAGAAGTGGGTGGTGAAACTGGATTGGCGACATGGATTAATTTTCCACAGGAATTCGTTTTCAAAACTGCAGAAATGTTTTGCGAATTTGTCTTTCTGAATGATTTTTAATATTTCGATCACCAATAATTTCACTGAAATTTCACCATAGTTGTAAGAGATGGCCTGACAGTAGTGTTACTAATTAAAGACCGGGATATGTGGAATCGTATAATTTATCTACTGTCCCTTTTAACAAATGACCAGTTAGTCAATAATTGAGAAAGATGGCACAAAAATTTACCCAAGCAGTTAAAGCAACTGTTTTACATGGGGTAGTAAAAAGAAATAGAAGGCAGGAGCTTATTACGAATGGTATATAGCAAAACCTTACAAGATCCTGGTAGCAGGGGTGAAATCCACTTACCTTTGCTACCGGTTCGCAAATGTGTGTGAGAGAGAGAGCGCTACGCACGCACACGCCTCTTCCATCCATGCACAGAGCCTTCTAAGCTTTCCTCAGAATTTTTCTGTGATTAAAGGAGAAGTTGATGAAATCCCTACATTGGGTAAGGCAAAGTTTAATTCTTCAGGCTCAGAGAATCACCAATCTTGGCTTTGAATTTGAGCTGCTAGCTCTGCTCGGTGACAGACAGAGGCCAGAATTACTGAGCAGTTCCTTAAATGAGTCCTGAAAAGATAAGGTGGGGGGTACTGGTAATTCCCAAGCTGTGCTCCTCAGTCATGGTATGCATGCCTGAATGGTGTACAGTCCACAGCTACCACATTGCTAGAAACTTTTGCCATGCTATGGGCCACCTCCTGTGTGGCCTGCCTCACAGATGAGCCCGGCAGACGCTGCCAATTAAACCTGGAGTGAAAGCTCATGTTGGTGGAGTTTAATGATCCTTGGCATAGCATTTTGTTCAAAGTGTAGCTGCTTTGGGCAGTGATCCAGTGTCCAGAGATAGAAATATCCTGTAGGACAATGTTTTCCAATCCTGGCAACTTTGAGATGTCTGTATTCCAATTCCGGAGTTGAAGTCCAGACATTTAAAGTTGCAAGGATTAGAAATTCCACTGTAGGATCTGTTAGTGACTGAGGCATCCTGAGGAGTAAAAGGAGTCTAAGGAGTCATGTTTCCTTTGCAACTATCACTGAAAAAGCCTCTGACTTTTTTGGGGGTCAGAAAGTACTTTGGTTGCATTGGTTCTGTCACCTTGAATGTTTGGTCTCTCTGAGTACAAAGGAGGATACAAAGAAAAACATGAATATTGTATTCATAAAAGAGGAAAGGAGGACTTCCTCACCTTGGCACTCCAATACTGAAATGATGGATGATGCCTCTAACACAGGAGCTATTGAGATGGTGCAGTCACTCTTGCCACTCAGCAGATGGAGCTCAAACATTGATGACTCCCTCCAGTGTTAGCCCTGGAGAGGAAACGTGCGGCACATGGTTTTGTTTTCAATTTTCAAGCATTTTTTTGTACGTACGTATTGTGGTCTGGATCAGGCCAACTCTGGTTGCAACATGATGATAGAGGGAAGCTTCCACAGTTCAATGTTCCCTACAGAAATTTAGCTCTACAGGGAAATATGAAGGGATTGTAGCTATCGGAGATCGCCAAGTGTACATGGTACAGCTGTGTTTTCCCAAGAATTTGGATCATTCCTATATAGTGAAAATGAATCATGCTTTAATCTTAACATTTTGTGAGAACTTCTTGTTAGTTTATGGTCAGTGCGTTTTGAATACAGAAAATTTGAGCTGAGGAAACCGGTTTTAATATGGATAAAACCCTAGTTCAGGGCAGTGGTGGGATTCAGCCAGTTCGCACCACTTTGGGAGAACCGATTATTAAATTTCCGAGCAGTTTGGTGAACTGGTTGTTGGAAGAAATCATTAGAACAGAGAACCAGTTGTTAAATTAGTTGAATCCCACCACTGGTTCAGGGGTGTCAAACTCAAGGCTCGGGGGCTGGATCCGGCCTGCAGGTACTTAGATCTGGCCCGTGTGGCTGCCCTGGAAACAGCAAAGGATCGGCCCATGGTGCTTCTGCCAGCGATCTGCAACCCTCTGCCAGTAAAAATGGAGCTCGGGAGGGTGGCCCTCCCAAGCTCAGTTTTCACTGGCAGAGGGTTGCAGGAGGCCGTGGCAGCCAAAAATGGAGCTCGGGGCTGTTTTATTATTTATTTATTTATTTATTTATTTATTTATTTATTTATTTATTTATTTATTTATTTATTTATTATCAAATTTCTATACCGCCCTACTCCCGAAGGACTCAGGGCGGTGAACAGCCAAGATAAAATACAGATAATACAAATATTAAAAATCCCTTAAAATTATTAAATATTTTGGCCGAAACACAGATTAAGACACCCAATTTATAAAATCACGAATTAAAAAATTTAAAAGAAGAGAGTTAGGCCAGGCCAGCTTGCTGAAATAGAAAAGTTTTGAGAGCACGGCGAAACGTGCGCAGGTCCGGGATCCTCCGTATCTCTGGGGGCAGCTCGTTCCAGATGGTAGGTGCCCCCACAGAGAAGGCTCTCCCCCTGGGGGCCGCCAGTCGACACTGTTTGGCCGACGGCACCCTGAGGAGCCCCTCTTTATGGGAGCGTACTGGTCGGTGAGAGGCTATTGGTAGCAGAAGGCGGTCTCGTAAATACCCCGGTCCGATGCCATGGAGCGCTCTAAAGATGGTAACCAAAACCTTGAAGCGCACCCGGAAGACCACCGGGAGCCAGTGCAGCTCGCGCAGGAGGGGGGTCACATGGGAGCGCCACGTCGCTCCCATAACCACCCGCGCGGCCGCATTCTAGACCAGCTGGAGCCTCCGGGTGCTCCTCAAGGGGAGCCCCATGTAGAGAGCATTGCAGTAGTCCAAGCGGGAAGTAACGAGAGCATGATTGACCGTATTTAACGAGTCCCGATCCAGAAAGGGATGCAACTGGTGAATCAGGCAGACTTGATAAAAAGTCCCCCTGGCCACGGCCGTCATGTGCTCCTCTAAAGACAGCCGTGAGTCCAGGAGGACACCCAAGTTGCAAACCCTCTCCGTGGGGGCCAATGACTCACCCCCAATAGTCAGTGATGGCACCAACTGACTATATCGGGATGTCGGAAACCACAGCCACTCGGTCTTGGATGGGTTGAGCCTGAGTCTGTTTCTCCCCATCCAGATCCGCACGGCCTCCAGGCACCAAGACATCACTTCAAGGGCATCATTGGGGTGGTCCGGGGTGGAGATGTACAGCTGAGTATCAACAGCGTACTGATGGTACTTCACCCCGAAACCACGGATGATCTCACCCAGCGGCTTCACATAAATGTTGAACAGAAGGGGCGAGAGGACCGACCCTTGTGAGTTTGACACCCTTCCTTAGTTTATTCTGTAGATAAATTATAGTTAAATCATGAGTAAGTGCATCATGCAAACCACAGCCTGTATGCAGCTACGGTGTGCTGGGTAAGTGTATACAGTTGGCCCCTACATACAATTCTGCATTGAACACTCCAGTGTTGCTAAAATCTGAGCCCTATTTGGCTCAGCAGTCTACTTTATCTAAAACATGATATGACAATGAGTGCTTGTTCCTCAGCAGCTCTCAGTTCTTAAGATGGGCCAAGCAATGTGGGACGGAACCAGAGAAAGCTGATCCTGCTCACCCCATTCACCCAACCCCATTAGTGGCCCCCCACAACTCTTGAATATTCTAAATCTGGAATGAAACATCACTTCAGTTTTTGAAGTCTTTCAGCTTGGCACCGAAATATCTTTTGAAATATTCCTTAGGGGGCTTTCTATTAATTATTAATATTATGGGATTAATATGGATCTGATCCTTTGTGGGTGTTTAAATTGGATTTTAGATTCTGCTCACTGTTGAAATCCCATTATAAATTAAGCTGAAAGAAAACAAAAATACAAGATTACCTAGTTCACATACCTATTATAGCTAATCCACAATGCAAGTTTACTGGTAATCCTCAACATACGAATACTTATTTAGCAGGCATTCAAAGTGAAGGTTTGAATGGCACTGAAAAAAGTGACTTCTGACTGATCCTCACACAACTGTTGCAGCATTCCCACAATCACTTGACTGAAATTCAGGCACTTAGCAACCAGCATGTAGCTACGATAGCTCCAGTTTCCGGAGTCATATTTGTGATTGTCATTTGCAACTTTCGCAGTTGGCTTCTGACAAAATAAATGGGGGAAGCTGGATTTGCTTAACAATTGCAAGATTCTCATAACAACTACTTGACAACCATGACAAAAAAGGTAGTAAAATTGGGAGTGACTCAGTTAACAACCTCCTTGCTTAGGAATAGAAATTCTGGTCCCAATTGGGGTTGGGGGTTGAGAACTACCTGTATGGTGGAAACATGCTGATAAAAGAATTTGAATCTAGCTCTAAGGGATCAAGTGGCAAAAAAAAAAAAAAAAGTCAAGTTCCAACCCCTCTCAAAATATCTCTGCTTTCGTGGCCATTTCAGTGTGGATTTAATTCACAAACTGCCATGTAAAGACCTGGAAGAGAAAGGGATTTTCCGTCACACTCAGATTGCCATTATGAACATTTCTTCCAGGTCACTATAACTCTATAAGAAATAGCCTTATGGAGGAGATACATCTCATACATCTAATTTAATTTCTGAATTTATTGTGGACAGGGGTGATAGTGGAATGCATGCTGAAAACAGAGATGTGGGAGGCTTAATGTGTGTTACTATGAAAGGTTGGAAGATGAGACATTTTTTTGAGTCCTGATTTAAAACTCTCCGACAGTGGAGAAATGGATATTCTCTTTGCTAAATTTCCCTTTGCTATAAGATATTTCAGATTTGATCTTGTTTTGTGTTGAAATGCCATAAGAATTGCAGATGATACACACTA